TGGCGGCGGGGCGGCGTGTGGCCTTGGGCTAGGGGCCGCTCAGGGAGCGGTCGCTCAGGAGACCCCCGAGCGCCGAGGGCAGCCGGGCTGGGCCGGAGCCTGCTGAGAGACTCCTCCCATTAAAAAGGGAAAGGGGAGGTGGGGCTGGCTTAGGTTGGAGGGTGCGGGGAGCCCCTTAGCTTTGGGGGCGTAGGACACACCTCGCCTCCTCCTCCCCAGGCTTCAGTAGCAGCAGCCAGGCTCTCGTTACCTCCTTGCTCGGCAAGACGAGGGGCTCAGGGCATGGAAAGTGATGGCATCTTCCTCCTCTCTGGAGCAGGGAACAGACTCTTCCCCACCAAGATGTGTGGGGGCATGACTCTGCTATCGATGGTGGGTGGGTGGTCCTCATTCCTCTTCTCCCCATGCTGCTAGGTTTTGTGTGTGTGTGTGTGGGGGGGGTCCTCATTCCTCTTCTCCCCATACTGCTGCGTGATACCAGGTAACACACCCATAAGTACTGCAGAGATTGGAGGAGTCCACTTCCCTGTGCAGGAACACACCTCAGTGCAGCAAACCCCACGTGTGTGCGATTTTCCTCCGGTATCTGGAGTGGAGATCATTTCACTGACCTCGGAGTCGTCTGCCCTCTGTAAAATAGGTTAGGTGACTGATACACACCAGCTTGTTGCAGTATTGAGCTCTTTTTTTCTGTGTGTCTTATATTTGGAATCACACTGCACTTCTTTTCAGTGCCCTTGGGTGTGTTAGGGTTGATGTTGTTATCTATAAAGCATAATGGATCTAAATATGGCTCCGTTTAAACACAAAATAAGACATGTTCCCCCTCATTTTGCCTCCTAAATATAATTTACAATTTAAGGATCTATGCTGGAAATCCCTCTTGACACAGATTTGACTATGAGTTCAATTGAATTTTCTGCATTGGATGGGGTTGACAGGATTGTGCCCTGATGCGTTGATTATGGGGTTTCTTGGGCCCAAGAAAGAAAAGCTAATGCATCTCTGCTTCACCATTACACTATTAAACAGATTAAGTTTGGTTTGGGTGGTTATGTGAAACTACTATAGGCTTGGTTCCATTATAATAACGGACACCACAATTTTTAACATTGTATAAAAGATACAGAAAAACAAAACCAGTAAAAGAAGATGAAATGTACAGTTGTAAGTCCTTTCATTTTAACAATATTCTTGATTCCTTTTAGCTGTATAGTTTTTTTTTATAAGGAGAAACTCCTGCTTGGATAGTTTTATAGTTGACTTCAATGGTTTCCTGTGCAAGTACAAAATGTATATCCATGGATTCAAATTCGAGAGCCATGTAGCTGCAGGACTGTACAGAGAATGTAACTGTGAAAGTGGCAGCATGTTGGGCCATTGCTTGCAGAAGCCACCACCCTGTGTAGACAGCTCCTCTGGCATGGCTGTATCACCCAGTAGGGCATGGCATCAGGTTCACTGGCAACTATCCCTGGTCACGCTAGCATTTGCAAGGGACTTACATGTTCCCAGGCAGGAGTCCCTTCCATGCAGCAGAATTTATACCAGTAACATTATAGTATGACTGTTACTCTTCTTACCTATCCTCCCACATGCTAATGTATTTATTTGAAGCGTAGTAATTTATCCAGGTAATGCTACAAACAAATATCTGAGCATGTGGGAGGATGGGTAAGAAGATTAAAAGTATGAAGAGAAAGGAGGAATGGTTATTACTACAGTGATCCCCTTCCAGTGCAGTGATGATGAGATAAGATATTAGGATGGTTTAATTCATACATAGAATTTGACTTTGTTTTTTTTTCTCATGTCAGGAATTATTATTCAGAAAAATGATGTAAATGATATTGGGTGCTTCTATTGGACCTTTCAATTCATTGTTTTTTTAAAAAAAGAATCATTAGCTTCTCTGGTTCTCAGTTTATGCGTCTACTAGCACATGACTGCTCGGGTTGTAAGTGAAATAATGGGGTAGTGGATTTGTTTGGAAAATAAAAGAAAATGTACATGCTTTGTTTAAATTATTGTATTTTTCAAGAAAAAGAAGGAAAAATAAGTTTGGATTAATAAAAGAAGGAAAGTGATTCAAACATTAGAGCTTGTTGGTAGACAATATTTGCAGGTTTTCTGACGTCTGTACCACCTGTCTCCTTTTTATTTTAGCAAGAGTGAGGACAGGGGTTAGGAGAGCTGGTGGGAGGAGGCTCAGGGCAGGGGGTAGGGGATGCTGGAGTGAGTGCAGAAGTGGAGGCATAGGGTTTGGTGTGAGCGGGACACAGGGCAGAGGATGCAGAAGTCAGGGAAGGTGGTGGGAGGTGCAGGACTCAAGGCAGGGAGCTCAGGCCAGGGGTCTGGGAGGCCAGGTGAGGGAAGCTTATCAGGGCTGCCCATGGTGGTGAGGATGGCACTGCTTCCATGGCACCTCCTCCCGGGGGGCCAGGGATGTGAGGGCCAGTCCCAGCCTCCAGTTTGTCCAGGGATGTTGCTCTGGGGCCCAGCCTAGCTTCCTCTGCCCTTCAGCTGGTCCTCAGGGGTCAGAGGTCAGCCTTGGCCTCCAATGCCCTCCCTGTCCTGCAGCAACCCTCCTGTTCTCCCCAAACTGCAGCTGGTCTGGGGCCAGGCCACAGGGGCCGGGGGGAAGCTCTTCTTTTGGTGAGGGAGGCTGACTAGGTCGCAGTCCATGTCATCTCCTCTAGACTGTCTTTGTGGGGGAGGGGAGAGAGAGCTTCTGGGTGAGGGCCAGGCTGCACTGCCCAGCCCCAGGGATGAACCCATGAGAGTCGGTGTGGGGCAGCAGCTCATTCCCTGGGAGCGGGGCAGGAGCAGGGCTGCCAGGGGGGAGCTGGTACATGCCAGGAGCCAATTTAAAAGCCGGCTTCTGGCATGCACTGGCCCCTGAGGAGCCGGCTGCCGCCCCATGTTGTGGGCTCTACAGTATTAACAAATCTGTTAACTTGAGAGTAACTTTAGAAGCTCTGTAGTGTGTATATATATTTAAAGGTGCTGTCAAGTAACAAATTTTTGTCTTAATGCTGAAGTTGGCTTTGTTATGCTTTTTGTCCTGCCGGAGACATGGTGTAATAGTCTGCACATAGGAGCAAGAGTCAGGAACTCCTGAGTTCTAATCTTAGCTCTCTAACACAGTTGTCTTCTGTGGCTTAGGGCAGGTCATTTAACCACTGCCTCAATTTCTCTGTTTGTTTGTAAAATGAGACTGCCGATAGTCACTCGTTTACTTCTCGTTTACTTCTTCCTTTAGAAAGACTGACTAATTACTATTTATAAATGCTGTGAAGAAAAACTTGAACATGTTGTCAATTGTAAGACTGGTTTCACAAAAGTGTTTTAATACATTAATCTGATGTCCAAAATCAGCTGAGAGGCTGATCTAAATATTCATGGGGAATAACATTCTCTTTTGTTTCTCCTCTTCAGATGATGAAAGTCACACAGAATCAAAACTTCAGCATGAGCAAGATAAACCAAACTCCCTCCCTATTCCTGCAGTTTCAAAGCGAATTGTACTTGGTGATTCTGTCTGTAATTTGTCAGGAACATCTGACCATGCAAGTGGCATTATAGAGCTTAAGGGAGATAAAAAGGACTTGTTCAGTAAAGCGTCTGAGCTTGGTAATGATGGTACTAGTGAGCTCCGGCATCGCAGCAGAGGGGATCTGGTATCAGAAGCTTCACAGAGAGCACCTCGACACAGATTAGATCAATACTTATCAAGATTTGATGAAGCTATGAAGCTAAGACACCAGCTGATGAATGAGAAGCCTAATCAAGAGAACGGAAATGCAGGGGAGGAATTTGATTCTTTTCGCATTTTTAGATTGGTGGGATGTGCACTTCTCGCCATTGGAGTTAGAGCTTTTGTATGCAAGTACTTGGTGAGTTAAGGAAAAGATTTTGCCTTGTTGCTGCAAATCCCACGTTCATGTCACCTCAAGAAAAGGACTAAATTCATATATTTAGGATCCTCCTCTATAGATGGTGACTAGATGAGTAGAGAACTTATTTTTCTGTTGGTCCACCTTATAAGGCCCTGAGTAGTACATCATTACCTTCTTGGAGTAGGTAATCATCTTAGTACCTTCAGTGTCTGGGTAATGCAGCCACCAGGTGGCAGCTGAGATCAGTGCAAACTATAACTTCATCCCCTCTAGACTAGAGACTAAGAACATTAGCACCAGACTGCTTCATGCATCTGCCTGTGTCTCCAGCTGGAATCTCATCTAAAAATATGTAGCTAGCACAAATTACCACCCTCTAAGCAATTGGGTTGACTTTAGACAGCAGTGATATTGTACCTGTGGCAACAATAATTGGTAAATCAGTCTTATTTCCTTTCAGGGTCAGGGCCTAAGAGAATTATGCAGATATTCCACCTTAATGGTTAAATGTATCTGTTTAGGCCACTAGTGTTCATAAACATAAATGTTTTTTCAGTGCAGTGACTTAAATTTTATTACAAATAATTGGCATTTGCCTTGGAGGAATACGTTTATTCTTGTTTTATTTTGTCTAATTTTCATATTTTCAATCTTTACAGTCAATATTTGCTCCATTTCTTACTCTACAACTTGCATATATGGGACTGTCCAAATATTTTCCAAAGGTAAGATCAGTACTTAGAAAAGATTAAATTAAAAAGAATCTAAATTTAACTTTTGCAACAATAATTTAGAGTGGGCCCAAAATGCACTTTACAAACAAGTTTTAAGTGACTGATTGATGTATCAATGTGGCTTCTTTTCATTTTAAAGTAGTGAAATGAAAGACACCTATTGTTGTGGGTTAATGCATTAACCTTTAAGTTGTTAGGATCTTAATTCAAATCCTCTTAAAGCCTCAAGTGAAAATGAGTTCTATTTTCTTGCTCTTCTATCTAGCAAACATTTAGTCATAGCACAATTAAAAGCATCTGATCAGAACATAAAGTTAGTTCTTCCTTGCATAATGTAGCATTTACCTGACATCCATGCAGTACTTACCTGTAATTAGTGGTGTGTGGTTTCTTTGAGATCTTTGCACTCACGGAATTTTTCCCCCTCAAAGTGAACTGAACATTGGGCCTTCATTTTCAAAGTCTCTGAATTCATTTGCTTAATAATTGTTTAAATGTGGGGTCAAATTCAAGGTAGAAGACTTTGAAATGTGAGAATTTATTTACATGTGTAACTTCCTGCTCATCAATAGGAAACTGTATCCTTTGCTTTACTTATCTACCCCAGTTAATTACAATGAAGTGTGGTAAAGGAAAGTCAACCAGTGGTTGAGCTGTAGTTTAAAATTATAATGTTCCATTTCAAAGGGGTGGTAAATTTAAATATAGACAGTGCGGTCAGACTTTTTTAGGTAAGTAATTGAAAACAGATAACTTTCAAGAAGTCATTCTAAACTGATGTGCAGAAAACACCAGACAATGTATTAGGAGGCTCCATCCTGGATTAGATTACCTGGACTAGCTCACTTATTAGGTTTTTCTAGCTCTACCCTCCATGATTCTAAATTCAGTTATTTAACTGTACTACTTTCAGATGTGACTTTTTGAATATGGAAATAATATTTTTGCTGATAACATTTACACTTCTTTGTATATGTTGCAGTGATGCTTTAAACTAGGGCTGTCAAGCTATTAAAAAATTTAATCGCGTACGCCTCCCCTTGAAAATGCTGCTGTGGCTGCACAGAGCCTGAGACCAGCTAAAGTCCCCAGCTGACCCTTGGCTCCATGCAGCGCTGCTCCTTTGCATCACTGCAACGCTTCAACAAAGGGGCAGTGCAACACAGAGCCCAGAATCAGCTGGAGTGCCAGCTGATCCCTGGCTCCACAGAGTTTCAAAGGGGCAGCACAACGCGGAGCTGGGGATCATCTGGACACTCCAACTGGTCCCCGGTAGGGAAGTTAAAGACTAGTCGACTAGTCGATTCCCCACCACCTTTGCTGCCACTATCAGATAGAGGAAAGTGCTCTCTAGTTGGAAAGTGCAGCTCTTCTGACACATTTTGAGAGGAGATGGCCAAACTGCTTTCCCTTCTTTTTAGTATATTACTAGGATACAGTTGTGTGATCTATTTGTTTTGTAAGCAATGACTAATATTTGCTAATGCAGGTTATTCTGCTATCAGTATCCATTTTTATTGCTTTATTAAAATGTTGGGATATCCTGAATATAAGACTGTGTTTTAAATGTTCATAAATGGCTTGATTTACCTGTGTTGTATTGTAGTAAGTTGCAACACTAAACTGTAATAGGTTACAACATTTTGAAATTTCCCACAACTTGTTGTTGTTGTTCCAAAAATGAATTTCAGTATAAAATGCCTAACAGACAGCTATTTTAGGACCTTAGACAAATAATTTAAGCCACAGCCTATAACACAATAAATAGCCATTTCATCCATCGCAAGAACAGTAGTCATAAAGCATTCCCACATGAGCTCCTACAAAAACCTTAACCTACTAGGCTCAGCCCTTTCCTAATTACCATTCTAAGAGATGGAATTTTCAAAGCCTCCTAATGGTCAATAAATTAAGACTATTTCAGTCCACTGACACAGGAATACATTTGAGATGTTGAAGGTCATCAGAGTCCTTGAGAGAGCACTGTAACAGTTTCATTTACAAAACTGAGTAAACACCAGTGTGATCACCTGTGGTTGATGCCAACTGAAGCTGTGTTGCATGGAGAGAGAGAGAGATGGTCTCTTAAACAGACAGGCACCTTCCCATTTGTGATTTGTATATGTTAAAACAAACATTTTGAATTTGACCTAGAAACCAGCTTGGTAGCTACTGTATGTTTGACCATGGAGGGAGAAGCTTCTTATCAAGTAAGCTACTGCATTTTATGCTAGTTGTTCTCAAATCCATTTAAGATGAGGCCCTAAATAGAACACACTGTCATAATCTAATTTAGAGATGATAAAGGCATTGATTACAGGAGTAAGGTTGCATCCAGAGATGGTTACAATCTCCTGACCAGAAAAAAATTGGGGGTGGGGGGAGCAGTTTTGGTCATCACTGTTAAGATTATCTAGAAGTAACTATTCATCTAACAAGAAGACCACAGATTGCACACTTGACTGACAACCAGGGAGGAGGCAGTCTTTGTTACAGTCCCTGGCTTCTTGCCCTAGCTGGTGATTACCAGTGTTCCCTGTGAGCTGTGCATTCATGTGGCCACTCAGGAGAGATTCCAGTGCCACCCAGCTGATTAGTAGAGCACCTAGAACAAGGTTTCTTGTTTCTTTTGGTGGTGCACATTCACACATGCCTTGTTACACATACAATTTTATTCTGCACATGGATGGAAAATATTAGAGGGAATATTGGTCATTACCTCCGTTTTATACCATTTAACTTTAATTTTCTCTCCTCATGCCCCAGACACAGAAATATGCTTGATTATAATAGGTTGGATGAAATGAAAATACAAAGTGGGTATTATCAAGATAATTCACTCCATTTCCTTGCTAGCCATCCTTACAGCTGTCTGTCGGTAGTGGAATCCTGCAGGATCCCACAGGAGATCATTGTCAGGGCAAAAGAGCACCCTCCCCAAATTGCTTGCTAGGATTTCTGGTATAAAAACAAAAGAACCAAGCAGTAGTCTCAGCTGCCTTTTTCTAAAGTCCACACGTGGGGTCAGGCTTTAAACTATATAACTTTTGTGCATTAGAAAAAGATCAAGATCTCAGATTCCCAAAACAGTGTGACCAAATTGATCTTGAAGGCAGTCATAGCCCTGAAGAGCTTAGAGTTCAAAATCAGCATGACACACCACTCTCTTTCCTTGTCAGTCTTTGGGAGAGATAATGCCCAGGGTCTCTAGAAGGTTGTATCCTCCCTAGCAGTCAATAATTTGTGGTGTTTACTGTTCATGCTGAGTCTTGCTATCTGGACTTGATGCCACATGATTAGCATTGAAGTGATAGTTTGAGAACAGAAAACAAGAATGAATGGCTTGAAATGAAAGGATAGATGAAAGCCTTTCATACTTGGAGCAGATCTGTACTAGAATCTTTTGCTGATAATGTAATGTCAGTTAGGGATATAGTATCTTTGACATTTTTATAATGGCAAAAGTCCTAGTGTAGATACAGTTATGCCAGCAAAAAATGCTTTTGCCAGTACAGGCTATGGGTACGTCTAGACTACATGCCTCTGTCGCCAGAGGCATGTAGATTAGGCTACCCGACAGAGTAAAATGAAGCGGCGATTTAAATAATCGCCGCTTCATTTAAATTTACATGGCTGCCGCGTTGAGCCGACAAACAGCTGATCAGCTGTTGTGTAGATACAGTTATGCCAGCAAAAAATGCTTTTGCCAGTACAGGCTATGGGTACGTCTAGACTACATGCCTCTGTCGCCAGAGGCATGTAGATTAGGCTACCCGACAGAGTAAAATGAAGCGGCGATTTAAATAATCGCCGCTTCATTTAAATTTACATGGCTGCCGCGTTGAGCCGACAAACAGCTGATCAGCTGTTTGTC